CCGGCGTGACTGTCGGACAAACGAAACCTACCCCGCGCCGGTAGCTCTGCCTGCTTCGCGTTTGCCACCATGCAAGCCACAACATGTTGGCCGCTAGGTCAAAGGGAATGCTCATGCGAGAAGAAAGTTGACGCCCGTTCTTTACAAACCTTCAACAGTGCTTGGCACCCAATTTTATCAAATGTTGTGTTGCACGACACAGGGATAGGAACGCCCTGCCTACTCCGGGGTCCTTGCGCTAGCACTGGCGGGATCCTGCGACTGGTCCGTTGACAGTTCGTTAGAGGCTCCTGTCACTAGACTCCGTTTTCCGTGCACTGGATAGGGTTTACGTCTAGAAAGCGCCTTGGACTCTGATCGCATGTTTCGTCCATTAATTGGATTAACCGCTTATCTGGGCCTAATGCTGAATAACATACAGTATTCGTTTGCAGTGTTACGACTGTTCTCAGCTCATGAGATGGCCATATTCCCAAGTCATTGCTATTCAGAGAGACGGGACCAAGAGGGGAGCTCAAGGTTAGGACAGGCATAAACACCGTTTGTTGGTTGGAAATTCAGTCAAGTGGTCGACCTAGATCTGTACATCGTGCAGTCAGCTAATCGAACAAGGCGTGCGTCGCATATGCACTGGACAGAAAGGGGACAAAACTGGTTCGCGAGACGCTTTTGCCGGGCAGAGCCGAGTCCGTGTGGGACGATGAATACTGCCACCCTTGTGTGCGATGGCACGTCCTGGACCTTCACGCCGCATTGAGCACTCTGTCCAGTCCCCTCATAAGTTGGTTTACATGCTCGAACAGTTGATCTACAGTGAGTGACTGATCTCATGAAATGTTAGCTCAAATTCTGAAATGCGTTTTCCATTAGGAAGGATTACTTAGGCGTGGTTGTAATACTGATTATCTTGCGACAAATCCTATAATACTTCGGACTCGGCAGGATGTGAGCTTCTGAATACCCTGCTTTTCAATCTCCTGTAAAAACCCTACTTGGTAAAAAATGGTTATCTACGTAGCACGCATTTTTCTCTTGGATTTTCGATGGTATTATAAATTCAAATATATTTTGTAGGAACCAGGAATGAAAACATGGTTTTTTCAATCGTTTAATTGAAAATCACGTCAAGTTTATATATTATGCTTGAAGAAAAGGTAAAATAAGATTTTAAAAAGTTTCTAATTATGAGATTTTTGAGACCGTGCAATGTCCATTCGTGCGGCATCCTGCCAGTCCGTTTACCACTGCTCATCATGAAATGTAACACATAGTCCGCATCCATTGCAAAATTTTACGGACTCTATACGATACCTTTTGAGGGCATAGAAGAATACGTGATTTTCTTTATGCGGGACGCATACACCTTTTAGACTGAAATCACCAAGCGCTAGTGCAACGACCGATCTGCCTCCAAGTTATTCGGCAATTAGAACACTTTTTAAAACCTAATTATAATCCTTCTTCGAATATGACATATAAAGAAAACATGATTCTCATTTTAAACGGCCAAAAGAAAGCATACTTTTGTTCGTGGTTTCTATAGAATATATTTGGATTTGCATGACCATCGAAAATCAATGAGAAAAATGCATGCTTATTAAGAAGTCATTTTTTGCCGAATAATGTTTCTACATGAGTTGGAAAAGCAGTGTATTCAAAAGCTGATATCTTGCCGAATCCGAAATATTATGGGATTATGCCGCAAAGTAATCATTATCGCAACTTCCCTAAGTAATCCTTCCTAATCGAAAACGCATTTCGAGATTTCAGCTAACATTTCACGAGATCGGTAACTCACGGTATGCATGAGAGGTGGAGTAGAGAGAGTGAGGCTGACGTTAGGTAGTCCATCCTCACCACACATCAACGCACTCCTCACTAGAATAAAGTTGGCCCGTCTGGACACATCATGGTGCTAGGCTATCAAATGACGGAGAAACTCGGTCCCTCTCACGATCTACTGTCAGGCTTCAGTGCCCCCCTCCCGCACAGCCAGTTGCACGCGCATTTCGAAACCATGTCGTGTGTGGTCCGCGTAGACGGACGGCTTAGCTCTGCCAGTCACTGCACCCACATCCACACTTAGTCGTTTTGACTTTTTCATGTCATTGGATCCATATGACCTTGGGAAGAGCGACCAAAGTAGGTGCGATGCATGTTTGTTGCACTTTAATAATATTCTCCGGCCTTTAAAGGGTAGGGGCCCACGCAAATGCAGGGCTGCGTCTATGTGAAATTCTTAAGACGAATAAAATAACTCCTTTACAAGCTAGGCTTACGTGACAGCCTTAAGGATGTTACCGTCTTAATAAAAATAGAGACTGACTGGCAAATTAACCTGTTTGTTGTTCAACTTTTTACCTCTTCTTCCTTCCTCTTATTCCCCTCCTCTGCTGAAATTTGGAAGAATCTTAAGCGCCTCGCTGGCCATCGCAACACACTGGTACATGCGGATGCTGATTTAGACTCCTTGAATAAAATTTTTATCTTTGGTCACAATGACTCCCATCTTCCCTCAAATAAAATTCCCCTATCACCATGTGCCTTCCAACCCGTGTCTGTGGCAACAGTAGAGAAACACCTTAAAAAGGTCCGTGGATCAACAGCTGCAGGACCGGATGGTCTCTCACCCTCTCTCCTTAAATCTTGTTCTCAGATAGCCCCTATGTTAATGCACCTTATTAGCATGTCTTTCGTGGGGTCCAAGATTCCCGACGCCTAGCTTATAGTGAGAAGCACTCCCATCCCTAGAAAAACCGTTAATTCAGGTCCTAGATCTTTTCATCCAGTTTCCTGCTCCTCCGCACTACTAAAGCTTGCTGAAAAAGTTGCCGTAGATATTATAAAGCCTTTTTTACAGTTTTTCCGACCTCTTACAATTTACATACAAAGCCAAACGCAGTACTTCAGATGCTGTTGTTCTTGTGGTCCACTCTGCTCTAAAGGCATGCGCTTATCTTGATTACTCCTCCGCCTTCAATACCGTTCCGTGCCCTCTTCTCCTTGCCAAGACATCCGCGTGCGGCTCTCCAGGTTGGGTCGTCTCTTGGCTTAGCGATAGTTTTACTTGCCGCACTCCATTTGTCCAATCTGGCAAGCGGAAATCTACGATCCTTCCCAATGACGGCAGTGTTCTTCAAGGTTCCATTCTATCCCTCACCTTTCCTTCTCGGGCAGGCAATCGGGCTGCAATGACCCTTGTGCGCAGCCAGGTACATGTGCATTTTATAACCATGTCGTGCGTGGCACGCGTAGACGGTCTGCTTAGATTTGTCAGCCACTACACCCACACCCACATTCAGACATTTTACTTTTTCCCGTCATCAGATCTAGATCGCTTTGCTAGGAGGGAGCAAAGTAGATTGGTACGCGTTTGACCCACTTCGATCGTATTCCTCGACATTTAATGGATGATGGTCCACGCTAAATACAGAGTTTCCTGTCACCGTTCTGGGCGTCTGCTAGGCCATAATTCAGAAAACCATGGCTCTCGAGGCATGCGGTGCACTGGCACTTCTCTGGCGCCTGGTTCTATGCCGGTAGATGCGTCTGGGCCCCTGTAGGGTATACAGGCCGTGCGCATGGTTGCCCAGCAACTTGCATCATCCGTTTTTGTTGTTGGTTAAAATCGTGGTCATTTGCTGCGTGGAACAGGCGGTGTTGAGTAGAGCGCCAAGGTGCAGACTCGACCGTGCCATCCACCTGCGTCCTCCCCACCTTCGGTCCCCTTGACTCTGTCTTGACAGCGAACCCAGGTGCGGGGTGGGGTGCGGTAGACGCTGTGCAAGTCTACTATCAGTATAAACGGATTCGCACACAAGTCACCGTCCGTGCTTCATCTTGCTGTGGAGCACACGGTGGACATCGTCGGTAACGACGGTCGAACTATATGTCCTCGCAACATCCCGGACAATTAGTGAGCAAACAACTTCACCCACGTCTAAAGGCTAGACTCGTTACATACTACTAACAGAACAGAAACAAACACTACACTGCCGAGACAATGAACCAGACGCAGTAAGTCTGCACGGGAGTAATCACTTCTCACATAACCGTTGAGTCAGAGGACGTGAGTTCGCCAAAAACACTGCGATATCATCCCCACCTACAGGAGGTGGCAGAGTTCAAGAAACTTTGGCGGAAATGTTGATCGCTGGCGACGATTAGGAAGGATGACTGAATTGAGTAGCATAAAACACAATTCCGGAGTTTGTAGCCTCCGTTTGGGCGTTCTTTCCATCACCAGCAAAATAATGTTTGCGGATCAACTGCTAGATCTCTTGAATTAAGAACGTCCGATGACCAGAGTCAATTCGAAAAAGACAAACGGACTAAGCAGTCACTTGTTATCTAATGTAGTGTTGCAGGCGCCGGTAAGGAGCGCATTTAAAAGCCGACAGTCCGGCATGACTGAAATATCTTGGAGAGAGGTCCTCCAACAATCGACACTACAACCCGACCCAAGGAATCCTTGTCAAATGAAAACCAATTTCGAAGTTTAGGTTGACATTTCATTAAATAGGCCAGCTACCATACATTGCTGCGTGTTTGTAGCATTTAATTTCTGATGGGGAACCTATCGACACCATGAGAAGACAGATTGTCACCGAGACGTCCAAAGCGAAACACTCGAGCCCGTTGAGGCGAAGATGGTTTTAGTTAGACTTCATGACTGACATTGCGGAGCCGCTCCATCAGCAGCCTTGAGACATTTTATTGCCATGATGACTGCAGCATCCCATTCAAAAACGCCAGCCCTTCTGAACAAGCCATGCATAGATTAGTTTAATTCTTTTCAGAAAACACGAGTTCCGGGAACGTAAATACTGGATTTTCGATGCAAACATTAATTCAGCCTGGGTTCGCGGATAAGGTGCGGGAGAGCACTTTTTCTCCATGCATTTTAAGGCAATCCGAACCTGTTTCAGGAAGTTTACTCGAGGGAACTTAGAAGGTTCGTTTCTGAAGATTTTGCAATTTGGGAACTTTTAAACCACCATATGATACTTCGCAAAACCCTCCGTCTTTACACTATTAACGTTGTCCGGGAGGTATTTGTCGGGATTCTTGTAAGCAGGAGAAGACTAGAGTAATCCTTTCCGACTTGTGCGCTGTCAGTCTTGTTCATATTTCTGTGTTTTTCTGGCAAAGCCAAACAACTAAAACGGTACGTCAGTAGGCTCATTCTGCCTGTATCTCTAGTTGATGCACAACTGTCCGCCGGGCTCTAAATCGAATCTCAAAGCATGATGAAACTAGTGGGTCTCGTAATTTAATCAGTGGGCGTACCTCCAACCAGTTTTAAGAGTCTTAAAAGAACATTTACTCTGCACCATCTCACGTGTTTCTGCTTACAATATTTTTGACCCCGGTGAACTTGTCTTTCGACCCCTATTAAAACGGCAAAATATCGAGCTTATTTGCCGGACATCTCATGTTGTTTCTTCCTGTCGTTTTGTGTTTTTTCCTATCTATACGTCATCCTCGACGCTTTTTAGGCCATCTGCCCCCCCCCCCCTGAACAGCGGGAATTTCAAAGGAAGAGGGGCCTGGTTGTCAGCAGAGCTTCGGGCTACTCGGTGAAGAACAGTTAAACAGTCGTCAACTAATGTTAGCTCCAGATTAGATATGCTTCCGGCCCTGATAGATAATCATCCTCGGGCCATACAATGGTAAGAACTTCAGGCGTGCCTGAGTACCGATCGCACAAATCGATTACCTGTAACACGTCAGGAGATACGATGAAATCTGCCAACTGTCCAGTAAGGTTTCGCGGAATGGATTAAGTATATGCGCGGGGTAAGAAAAGACCAATTGTTGTATAACAAATTCACCAACGTTTAAAAACTCCGGCCTAAACTGGCATGTGTATGCATTCCATCTACCATCATTTCCAGCATTTTTCTACTACCTTACTGTTCTCCGCGCCGAAAGATTTAAATTAAGCTTTCTTACTAAAGAATTACGCATGGGTTGTGCAGAACAACCAACCAATGTAGACATTTAGGCAGTACCGGCTCCTTGGGGCGTCGCAGGTTAGCGAGTATCATCCTGCCGCCAAAAGTCTAACCAAACATTCTGCAGAACAACATATTTTTTAAAAAGTATAGTAGGCAGTCCTCCAAAGTATTTCCTTACTCCATGCATATACTTAACCCTTACCGGTTTCTCCGTTGCCGCACTGATTTGGATCCTAAATGTAAGTGTGTAATACCTGTTTTGCTAAGAGTTTGGCCAGCTTTACCGATGCCGTATCGCCATCTAAAGAAGAAATGCCAACATGTGGTCGAGAGGGCACAAAACGCAATCGCTGGAACAAGAATGCCATCCGCTTGACGTTTCATATTTACACCCGACTCCATCATTGGAGGCATTTGATATGTTCAGTCAACACTTAGATGTGTTGAGGGCGTTCCCTTCACAATAGCGATGGCAGGTTAAAAATCAATCAAAGGGTAATTTTGACCGTTAGAAAGAGACTGAAATTGGGGTTTAGTTTTGAAAGTTGCCAGCATTTTTATAGGCGGATTTATCGGTCAACGGTGTCACGTTTGGCTGGACGAATACCTCATAAAACACACATGTCAAGTTTTTGCCAGATGTCCAACAAACGAAATCCTAACATGCTGGTTTTTGACGGCTGATAGGCAGGAAGCCTCACCGACATAGGCCAGGGTGAATGACGGGGACCCAAGTCAGTTAGTCATTGAAATGCGCCCACATCATTGTACTAAGTGGCTGACATGGTATCGGTTGGCGCCCATCCGTCATGATTTCAGGACAGAAATACGCTCCTCGAATGCATTTTGGAGCTTAAGGACGTATAATCGAGTTAGGTATGTAACATAGCGATCAGTAAACGATAGCAAAAGGCCATGTTGTGATTCACCATTTTTTATGAATATCGTCGAATATTTTAAAAATTGTGAACACAAACTGCTGACAGATTACATCAACAAACAGGAAGCAGTTGATTGGGTAAAACATGGAGCCTTTTCGCCGTATGCCGCTCGCTTAGGTCAGCTCTGTGTTGTTAATTGAAAACTTTGGAAATAAATGCAATAAGGAGCTGCAATATGTATGCAAACGGAAGACACATAAACATTTAAAATAACGGAACCGAGTCATTGTACTCGGGCCGATGGTTCATTCCCAAACGTCGCCCTTTCATTTCAACAGACCAGGAAGAAATAGCCCATTTCCAAATGACACCGATCTTGCGACGGCAGGATAATTGTTCTGTCCTTCAGGCTGATGGTGGCGTCGTTGTGTTAGACCAATTCAAAATCACATTGAACCCTGACATGGATCGTAGGTCGGAGTAAGTTCAATGAGGATTGTTGTTTATTGACGCACATGCGTATGCGGCGAGTTAGACGGAGGCTGAACTCTGTGCCAGTCAGTTCAGCCAATTTCACCACGAATCGGCTTAACTGAAATGAATTAATGACGCATAGAAGACGGGCGCGAGAAGGGATTCGACGGGACCCAAAACCGACGTTTGCCTTCCTCATTGTAGGCAGTAAATATGCCCTGACTCCGTCATCACATGTTAACAGTCAGGGGTTGGAAGACTGCCAGCTAGCCTGATAACTCGCATCGTATATTCAAAGAGGGTTCAAACCACAAGAGCTCCCTCAGATTTCGGTGCGTGTGAGATCCAGAACATAAAGTGTCGCCGAAATAACTTCCCTGTCCAGTCGTTTATTCTGTGCGAAAAATTGAGCGATAGTGTTTGAACAGAGTTCATCGTACACACGAGTCTTATGTGGGATTACAATTTATAGACTTGCGTGCCTGAGGAAGACTGCAATGGCGATTTTCCACTTACTGGCCATAGAAAACTAGTCCCACACAACACCAGATTTGTGTAATCTAAGATTTTCAAATTCGATGCTCCAACACTTGAGCCATCAGCTCGTTGCTGTCGTTGAGACGGGTAATGAGCTAATAACGCCCTCACTACTGTACCGCGTGATCGTCTCTTGCCCAAGTCGTCGCCGAATGACCAACTGATCACAGGTGTGCAGTCTGGGACTTGGGAATCACCGACCTATGATTAATGGTAATTCAGAAGTGACCACTTCATTCTCGCCCCTAGCTGTGCCGGTAAACATTTTCTAGCATGTCGGTCGCTATGTGACCGCCTGTCCGGAGATTGTAGACCCGCAGCATAAATCGGTGCACGTCATGCTTGTGTGACGGCAAATATAAACTGGAAGCAGTGTTTGACTGACACGTGACGGGACAGACAAGCTCTTAGCTTGTAGCCACTCAAGTGAGGATCTGCGATCCGCCTTCTGTACCCAGGTTGCGTTAGGTGGTTACGCTTCGATCACGTCGAATTCACCAGTCGTCGAAGTGCAGTGGTCGGTAAATCAAGTATTCCCGGATCAGACTTCAAGTAAGACATAGTTACAGTATTAGGGCCAAAGAGTGTACACGTAGCTCAGCGAACAGTGACAACAACTGTTCCCGTGGGCTGTGCCGGTCTTTGAAGCTGTTCGTCAGGGTGCAAACTGTGTGACTGAACTCTGTGCAGATATGCAGAAATAGCAGTCAACGTCACAGCCGAGTCATAGGCTCGTACGCATTGCTTGAAAGGTGGGCTAGATCGCAGTTGGTAGCCAGGAATGGGGAAGCGGACGGCGACCTCAACCCTAATCCTAACCTTAACTGGTAACCCTAACGACAACCTTAACCCTAACTCTAACCGGGATCGTTAATGTAACCGTAGCCCTTAGACAAACCTAACCCCAAAAACCGATGCATTAATGGCATAACCCTAACCCGAAAATCGGACACCATTAACCGGTACCCTAATCCTAACATCAAACTAAAATGGAAGCCAAATGGATCAGGTGTGATTATGTAGCCCCACAAAAACCCCCAGTAAACAAACCCCCAGCCACCCGTAATACGGGGCCCGGTCACCAACTGCGATCTAGCCAAAAGGTGTCCTAGATTGACCGAAGGCGGCTAGGGTAAACGGCCTCATCGATGACAACGGGAGCGGTCTGCCATATGCCTTTCATTCTGCATAAATCCCATCCATATGCTTATAGCTGTGTCTTCCGAAGTAGAATACACTTAGCAAAATTGTGAGATCTATTTGGACGTTTTGCAGTGCATTGCCAAATGAAGACCCCCGCTCTGTAACTGTTCGTAGGCTCGACATAAGAGGCTACAACGATTGGGGTTTAACTATGAGCGAATCCTAATCTCGGATAAACTTCCCCGATGAAGGAGAAGATGAAGACACCTTTTAGTAGGCCAAATCAGTTTCTTGAAGGCCTTTGTTTTCAGCCGGAGTGCCTGCCTCCATGGTAACTGCGTCCAGCGATTCCCTCATTGACAGGAAGCTGGTCCAAACGGAAGCCTCCAACTCCTGCCGGAGTCTAAGGCGCCCAGTCATCAACTGTCTCTCTCTCTCCTCCCCCCACCCTCTCCCTCACCAAAGCACTCCCTCACCAAAAGAGCCGGAAACAATAATGTGAATTCTTCCAGAAACGCGCTTCTCTTGACAGCTTGCCTAATAATCACTTACCTCTAGGCTTCCACCATCCCTGCCTCCCCTCCCTCCTGCCCCTACGGGTCACAGCCCCACTGCCAATTGAGTCAAGCCCATTACGCCTCTGTTTGATCTCTCAGCAGCAGCCGTAGGAGAAGGTGGAGGAGGTGGAGGAGGAGGGCGGGGGAAGGAGTTAGGAAGTACGAGACAGCTGGCAGGACTGTCATCTTCCAGGCCATTTGCCGCACAGGACAGACTGCGTGCAGACAAGTGGACACTTAAGGCAAGAACCCCAATTTCATCCTGTTCCTCCCTACGAGGAGCAGGATTTCCGGGGGAGAAGCGCCCATGATAGGGAAGGTAAAATTGGCAAATTACAGCGGCACTGAGGCAAGCATAAAAACGGCTGCGTTAGTACCCTGGCCTCCGTTGGTCGTTTGGGTTTTAAATATTCATTCTGGGAGGAGAAGGAGGAGGAGGAGGGCGTTGAAATGCAATTTACCGTCCTTGAGGAAAAGCGTGCGCATGACTTTTTGGCGCATAAAATAACAGGAGGGGAGAGGGCCAGTGGGTAAGAAGTTCCCAACCTTATCAAACAAAAAAAAACAGAAATTGGGCCTGAGTTAAATGCCCTCCGTGACCCCACCCCTCACCGCCAGGCGGCCTTTCATTTGGGATTAATTTGCGGACTGTCAGAGCGCAGTTGGCGCCCTTAATTTTGGCGGTAGTTTGTTTGCAAAGAACTGCAGACTGGTTTCTAACGACACAGTACCAAACACAGAGAATCCTTACTCCACCCCGGAATCAGCTAAATTAGTCAAATGCCCTTCTTACACGAATGTGAGTCTGTAGTCCCGGTCTTGGATCGTTTAGCTCAAGGAACAACTGTGCGCGGGGCCTCATATCTCGAATAGTTGAGACGAGACCGGCCGGAAACTGCAAACAAGCTAGAATTGACCTTGCAACCTGTCCAACCTTTACTTATGATATTTTTGATAGACAGTAAAAGCTTTAGATAGAAGGTCACCGCGGAAAAGCCAAAAGTGTGTATTCCTTCCTAGAATCATGTAGTCTGAATGAACTCCATTCTCGTGTGACTTTTCGCAGTAAAGCTGGCCTCAAACTTGACCTTGGCAGGCTTAGTGCGCGCCTTTTGCCGCACCCCTCTCCCAGTCGCCTGGGTCTCTACCTTGTTTTAATTGATTTTGCACCTCACAGACTTATGGTAGATTCAAGACTGCTCCTCAAAACTGGATATCCATATTTATTCGTTGTCTTCCGGTATCATAATTTGGAGAACTAGGGGGAGGAGGAGAAAGAGGGGAAGGGGGAAGAGGAGGAGGAGGAGGAGAAGGAGGTAGAAGATGAAGGAGAAGAAAAGAAGGAGCAGGCGGAGGAGGAGGAGGAGGAGGAGGAGGATGAGAAAGAGGAGGAGGAGAAAGAGGAGGAGGATAAAGAGGAGGAGGAGGAGGCGAGGGAGGAAGAGAGGGAGGAGGAGGAATGATAATTTTCAATGCACATATAGTCTGTTTCACAGAAGACGAAGGTGAAGATCACTTACACTTCGATGGTACTCTATCAAGAAGTCGTGCATTACCCCCATCCATATAATCAGACCTCTCTGGAGATACACTCACTACTCCTGGGAAACCGGATTTAAAGCATTTCCTTCACCCCCGACTTGCACAGCATACAGCAAGTGGCACATCTCATTAAGTGTTAACCGGAAATCTGAAATGCGTTTTCAATTAGAAACTGTTACCTTAGTCGGGTTGAAATACGAATTATCATAAGGCACGCCTGCGCTTATATGCGTCTTTTACAGGCGAATTGCGAAAACCGCATACGGTAAAAGTGACTGTTTAATTTTATGTGCATTTTTCAGTTGATTTTTGACAGACTTAAAAAAGCAATTATATTTTATACAAAAATATGCCCAAAAATGTCCTTTCTTGCACTGAGGTGTTCCTGTTGGCCTTTAAAATGACTTTACTCTCCGTCTGCCGCCGGACTCGCAAACTACACCCTGCCTACCTTCAATGAAAGGAAAATCAACTATTCCTCTATCCAATTAAGGAGATTGTGCAAAGTGCTCATAAAACTGAAATGGATGTGGACCATGATGCATACATTGTTAAACTTAATTATGCTCCTTCTTTGAGTATAAAATATAAGGAGGACGTGATCCTCATATCAAACGACCGAAAGGAAACATATTTTTATTCATGGTTTCTATAAAATATATCTGAATTTGCAAGACCATCAAAATTCTATGTGAAAAATGCAGGTTAATTAAGTGGTCACAGGAGATTGAAAAGAAGTACATTCAAAAGCTGACATCCTACCGAGTCCGACATGCTATAAGATTATACCGCATAAGAATCAGTATTACAACCCCACCTAAGTAGTCCTTCCTAGCCGAAAAACCATTTCAGAATTTCGGTCAGCATTTCATGAGATCGGTCACTCACTGTAAGGCCGACCGCGCCAGTTGGCCCGGACGGCTATCAGCTGACGGGGAAGTTCGGTCCCTCTCAGCTCTGGCAGTCTGGCTGCAATGACTTTTATGTGCAGCCAGAGGCACGTGCATCGTGTCCTGTGTGGAACGCGTTGATGGACTTCCTAACCTTGTTAGTCACTGTACCCCCCACCTTTAGACGTTTTGACTTCTTTAGATCATAAGATCTAGATGGGTCTGGGAGGAGCAAGTGTGACTGGGACCAGAGATGATAGATTAAAAAAATTATGTTAGTTGAACATGGGCATAGCTAGCCCTGCACTACAGCTGGCCTTGCGCTAAATTCCAAGGCTACTATAGCTCTAATACCACTAGCTCTAACTCTAACCGTAATCCAGCTCTCCTCAACTGGACCCCCAACCGAAATTTATGACAAAGTCACCTGTAAGGCGAGAGATACTTACTCTTTCGCCATGCCTTTTTTTTACTGAACTTTAAGTTCGGAACCTGTGGCTGCTCGGCTTCCAATCAAATTATTTGCTAGTTTGCACCACAAGATGAGCCAGTTCTTTCACAGAGTCAGTGGTTAAATTCTCAACTTTTTATGTTCTTCGAAGACCCAGAAAAGTGAGGAGGAGTCCAAGAGTGGGAGAAGCCAGATGTGCAGATGTCTCATTAAATGTCGACCGAAATTGTGAAATGCGTATTCGACTGGGAAAGATTACTTAAGCGGGAGGTGTCATACTGACTATTTTGCGACATAATGCGGCGATAGCTCAGCCACAGCGGGCTGTCGGCTCTTAAACGCAATTTTCTTCGGCCGTCTGTAATTACTGCATTCGGAAATAAATAATTATCTTGGCAGTAGGCATTTTCTCTGTTGATTTTTGATGCTTCTATCAATTCAGATCGGGTTATATACAACAGTAGGCGGGTTAACTCATTAAATGTCAACTGAAATTCCGAAATGCGTTTTTGTTTCGAAAATATTAATTAAGTAGGGTTTCAAAACAAATCATCATGCATGCAAATTACATTGATTTTCCATACCCTTAAAACTTCAATCATATTTCATGGAAAGCATGCACAACCGTATTCTCCCTCTTGCTCCTTCGGTAGAAACTTACGTCTTTTTCCAATTTCATGCTCAAATGAGAAGTATAATCCGGTTTTCAAAACTTTTACAATTCCCAAATAATTTTAAACTCAATCCGCCGTTACACTTGCATTCAGGGTTTCCTAATTACAATTCGTATATTTGCCACGTACGCAAAACCATACATTTCTCTACAGTATTAAGAGAAGACCATATGGGGTTCATAAAATTCAGCAGCTGATTTGATCCATAGTGTTAATTTACAAGCCACATTGGGAAATACAGAGACATGACGTTTTATGAACGGCCATTTCACAGTATTAAAAAATCTCACAATTTGAAACTTTTTAAAACCCAATTATACCCCTCCTTCGAGTATGAAATCGAAAGAAGACGTAATTTTTTACTGAATGAGCAAGAGGATGAATACTTTTTGCAAGTTTTGCTATTAAATATAGTTGAATTTTTAAGGGCATTGAATATCCATGAGAAAATTTATGCTACACAAGTAGTCTCTTTTTACAGTATATAGTTTTGTATGCAGCCGGATAGAAGTTCGTCGAAAGTTGGCCCCTCCCAGTAACTGAATTATTATAGAAGTATGCTGCATGATGATTAGTTTTACAACCCCACTTAATTAAGATTTCCGAAACGACAGCGCATTTCGGAATTTCCGCTGAGATTTCATGAGTTAACCCGCCTACTGTATATATTCCTCTTCGTACTCATTTAGTGGTAAATCGCATCTCTCTAAATTTTCTACTCGAAGGAAGGATATCTCGCGATTTTAAAAGGTTTTCACTTATGAGATTTGTAAAGCGTAGTAATATCGTATTATGTTCCTCGTCAGCATACAGTATAGTTCCCATCCGCCGAATGGTGTAAAGGAATTAATATTTTTCCTTACACGAAAAGTATGCAGATAGCAGACTGAAAACCTCAACGAATATGCAAAGGCAAATTGAGTTCAAAAATGTTCTTGGATTAAAGACTTTCTTAGAACCAAAAGACCCTTTGTTTTCGAGTATAAAATTTGGAGAAGACATCATCTGCTACCAAATGAGTACAGGAAGGAATATTTTATGTATGCTTTGTGGAAAAATATATTTTAATTTTTAAGAGCATCGAAAATCAATAGAAAACATTCCTACTACCAAAGTGATCATTTGTCATTGCAGACGGTCAAGATGAATGGCGTCTTAAAACGACATCTTGGAAGGCCTGAAATATTACGATATTATGCCGCAAGACAGGCAGCATAATAATCCCAGTTAAGTAATCCTTCCTACTCGAATACGCACTTCACAATTTCGGTCAACATTTCGTGAGCTCGGCCAAACTACATCGGAGTGGGTTTCATCACGTGATGACAGATTTGAATGCACCGTATCCCGGCAGTTTACTAAAGTACATCCGAAAAGTGATTGAGGAAGCCCTTTCGACCTTCCAACCAATGGCCGGATGAGTTTGGGAAAAGATTCCTATCCTAAGAGTAATATAATTTGTTAAATTTTGAACGGAGATAAGCATTTGGTGTGTCTGATGGTCTCCTTCCAATTCACTTGCTAATGAATGTGCTATTTAATCAGTACGTACGCTTGCACTATACTGAGATTGATTTTGGCGTAAATAACTACGAATCAGGTTTCTGCACCATGAATTTTGCAAATGCAAGCGTATCTTTGCTCTTTAGTAGACCCACAGTCCTTATATCCAAGCTAGCGTCGGTGTTCGCGATCTTAAGCGAAACCGCGCTATGTATTAGTCGGCCGAATTGCCAAGTCGAAGCGATTCAGTTGACATGGTCCGGTGTGGTGGAATCCGCAATATGTCAAACTACATGTGCCACACCTGTTGGACGTTTAGCTCCTCTATTATCTTCAAAAACCAAAATCCACCCCAATCGCCACATAGTATTGCATTCAGTGACAGTTTAATTATTATGCGGTCGTTTGCTAACAATTTCTACCAGTGTGGCTGACTGGCATTTTAAAAACTTTTCGTCGCATAAGTTGTATTTCAGTATAAAAGGTGAAATAACTTTTACTGGCTTATAAAAACGGATCCAGAGGGGAGACTGAACTTTCGCTTACTCATGCGTTTGCACATAGCTCTGATCTTTACGCATTACCAGAATAAGTCGGTGAACAAGACATTACCATAATTAACTCCACCGTTTCGGAAATGTTCTCTGTTTTCGAGAACTTATCTGCCTTAATATAACCCGTAGACAGGATGATGAGTCGTAACTGTCAAGAAACTGCCTCAGCCACCCCTCCAATGTATATTAATGCAACAATATAATAGCCCGCCAGTTTTAACGAACACGTTACTCCAGCGGACAGATCTTGTTCAAAAGGGGGGAGGATGTGCGATATTTTGGACACACAATCACGACGCAACACAGATGTAAGGGGCGATCTGCGTTCCACGCAAGACCCTTTTCACGACTGTCACATCCAGAAGGGAAAAAATCGATCGTTCTTCATTGGGTAAGTACCTACATTCCCTGAGCAAATGCCACTTTGGGGGGCTGGGTTTCTTTAATAGTGTTCAGTGGGATTTGCGTATCTAGCCATGCAATTGCCATGTCCCATCCATCTGCAGTAAGGCGGAATGGACACAGTAGAGGCAGAGGAGTTAAACCTCATGGAAGCCAGATTCCTTAACCGCCAGATACTGCCGGAGGACAAAGCCGGCGACCCGGAGGTGTTTATACCCAGTCTTTGCCCTCTACGGTTGCATGGATTAGGCAGAAGCAGGTAATAAGATTTGCTGAATCCTGATAAATAACGGAAAGAGGTTTCACAGTCTCGTCTCAAATCCCTTTTACGGGTGAATGGACTATTCGTAAGACCCCAAATCGGAGCTCAAACGTCCTTCGTCGGTGTTGTGTCTTCCGAAAATGTTTGTATAGAGCAGTTTGGCCGTAGCCAGTGACCGTGGACTG